AGCAACACTTATGTGAAATCGGCATCGGCATCGACATTGATACAAATTTGGCGAGCTTAATTACCCTGTTCTCTGACTCACTCCTGTAGTACATTACCAAATGGTGGATCACCCGATGACCATCACATCATTATCGTGTACATGTCACCACTGCACCGCAATGTACAACAACTGCGCTTATTTTGATACTTAACAGAATGTCAATTTTGGTAAAAGTACAAATTACAATCTTGATTGAAATGCATAGACCAGGGATTTTTTAACATGTCACTTTTGAAATACACACCAAACAAAAGATATACACCTGATTATGTTTGCCTATCTTATTGCTATCTGTGTGAAATATACAGAACACTGGATTGTCTAACAGGTATGATGGAATATATTTAGAAGATAAGCATACTATGTTTACAATGTAGAGCTAGGTTACCTGTAGATTTAACTGCGCTAAATTGAATTTGGAACTGAACGCGCAGCATTCCTACAGGTGTACATGTACAGGTAACCTAGCTCTAGATTGAAAACACAGTATTATGTTTATCTCCATTCTACCATGACTAAATAAAACGCGAACTCTTTGGTGTTAACAAATATACTGAGTGAAGTGGCATGGGTTGAGTCCAGTGTTTTGAGTGGGTTATCGATCTGAATTACGGAATCACCGAACAAAATATGTTGCTTTATATACTCAAGCAGTTTGTTTACACTGTAATACTTCACTCGAACATATGACAGGCATTGAAAGCATATAAGCTCGGCAACTTGGTAAGCTAACATGAGGTGGGCATCCCTAAAGAAAACAAAGCCAGCTTTGCAAGGCTTTCGCTCTACATCGCGCGTCACCATTATGATGTCATATCACTCATTGTGACGCAAAAGATATGACGTCACAGTGGTATATAGAAAAGCGGCAAAATTCCAACCTCTGTGTTGTCTCCAAAACGTAAATACATTCCCTTTGTAGATTTATGTCGTGTTTTCTGCGCGAGATGTATTGCCACACGTCCTTTGAATATTGTAGTAACCGCATCTGTGCATTTTGTAACCTGTAATTGTAGATATAATTATTTAAATATGCCTACCGAAAATGACTGAAAAAAGTACTATTCTATGAATATTAGCTTCCGCGGTGATGCGGCCGTCAAACCAGCTGTTTCAATCAGAGGGGGGTTTATTGTGATTTAAAAGCCTCTGATGACCAATCAGAATCGAGTAAATTCCAAATTCGTGGTAGAATTCTGGATAAATCTGGTCATGTGAATGTACTGTCTTAGTAATTTCCTTGTTGGATACATTTATTCTTTTTTCAATTGTCCAGAATTGTAATTAATACATAAGAAACATGTAATTAATTATTCTCCAATGAACATATGTTTTTATTCAGATTTTCATCCTGCCTCACTAGCAAACACACATAATTTTGTTGTCCCTGGATACCTACAATGAAAATGGTGGTGTGTATTACTTTCTTGACTTGCTTAAATACATAGGTATGTTGTCCTACCAAAAGTTAATGCTTCACGTGAATCACAAGTATCCAGTTAATGTACACTCAGTTTGTTTGAGATAGAAATATCTAAAAAAAAAAACAATTGTAAATGAAAATCTACGAATTTATTTAATATGACCATATGTTTGCCAATTGCATCTGTAAAGAAACTGTTCGAACAAAACAACCTGACATGATTGCAAAACATACATTACAAAATTGTTTTCAAATTTCTTCAAACATACTTACAGTAAATAAAAAAGCTTAATAATTCAATAATTCCACAAAAATAGGAATATATTATTTAGCATATTCTCTTTCTTTGTCTGAGCATAACTATTTATGTCTGTCCATAATAAGTATTTCTTATATATACCTTCCTATGATCTTTTGCTTTCGTCTTGGGACAGAATCTAATTGAGCTCATTCTTTACCACCCCCTCACCATGCCATCCTCACCCACAAACGATTGATCACACACTAAAAAAGGTTAGTAGCTTGTGGGCAACAATATTTGTGTTTGGGTTTTACATACAGACAAGTTCAAAATCCTGGTGGTAGGGGAAAAATATATATTATAAAATAATAGTTTACCCTTGATCTTTTTCCACATTTGTGACACAAAGTAGGACATAAAATCAGACACAGCCCCATCAAGGGACACAACAATCAGACACAGCCCCATCAAAGGAAATAACAATGAGACACAGCCCCATCAAGGGACATAACAATCAGATACAGCCCCATCAAGGGACATAACAATCAGACACAGCCCCATCAAGGGACATAACAATCAGACATATTCCCATCAAGGGACATAACAATGAGACATATTCCCATCAAGGGACACAACAATCAGACACAGTCCCATCAAGGGACACAACAATCAGACACAGACCCATCAAGGGATGTAACAATGAGACAGCCCCATCAAGGGACATAACAATCAGACACAGTTCCATCAAGGGACATAACAATCAGACACAGTCCCATCAAGGGACACAACAATCAGACACAGTCCCATCAAGGGACACAACAATCAGACACAGCCCCATCAAGGGACATAACAATCAGACACAGTCCCATCAAGGGACATAACAATCAGACACAGTCCCATCAAGGGACACAACAATCAGACACAGTCCCATCAAGGGACACAACAATCAGACACAGTCCCATCAAGGGACACAACAATCAGACACAGCCCCATCAAGGGACATAACAATCAGACACAGTCCCATCAAGGGACACAACAATCAGACACAGTCCCATCAAGGGACACAACAATCAGACACAGTCCCATCAAGGGACACAACAATGAGACATATTCCCATCAAGGGACATAACAATCAGACACAGCCCCATCAAGGGACATAACAATCAGACACAGTCCCATCAAGGGACATAACAATCAGACACAGCCCCATCAAGGGACACAACAATGAGACATATTCCCATCAAGGGACATAACAATCAGACACAGTCCCATCAAGGGACATAACAATCAGACACAGTCCCATCAAGGGACACAACAATGAGACATATTCCCATCAAGGGACATAACAATCAGACACAGACCCATCAAGGGACATAACTATCAGACACAGTCCCATCAAGGGACATAACAATCAGACACAGTCCCATCAAGGGACATAACAATCAGACACAGACCCATCAAGGGACATAACAATCAGACAGTCCCATCAAGGGATGTAACAATCAGACACAGTCCCATAAAGGAACATAACAATCAGACATATTCCCATCAAGGGACATAACAATTAGACACAGACCCATCAAGGGATATAACAATCAGACAGTCCCATCAAGGGACATAACAATCAGACACAGTCCCATAAAGGAACATAACAATCAGACATATTCCCATCAAGGGACATAACAATCAGACACAGACCCATCAAGGGATGTAACAATGAGACACAGCCCCATCAAGGGACATAACAATCAGACACAGTCCCATCAAGGGACATAACAATCAGACACAGTCCCATCAAGGGACATAACAATCAGACACAGTCCCATCAAGGGATGTAACAATCAGACACAGACCCATCAAGGGATGTAACAATGAGACACAGCCCCAGCAAGGGACATAACAATCAGACACAGCCCCATCAAGGGACATAACAATCAGACACAGTCCCATCAAGGGACATAACAATCAGACACAGTCCCATCAAGGGACATAACAATCAGACACAGTCCCATCAAGGGATGTAACAATGAGACATAGTCCCATCAAGGGACATAACAATCAGACACAGTCCCATCAAGGGATGTAACAATCAGACACAGACCCATCAAGGGATGTAACAATGAGACACAGCCCCATCAAGGGACATAACAATCAGACACAGCCCCATCAAGGGACATAACAATCAGACACAGTCCCATCAAGGGACATAACAATCAGACACAGTCCCATCAAGGGACATAACAATCAGACACAGCCCCATCAAGGGACATAACAATCAGACACAGACCCATCAAGGGACATAACAATCAGACACAGTTCCATCAAGGGATGTAACTCTGTCTTTGTGGGATTTCTTAAGGAACGCATGAGCAGATCAGACAATAAAATAAAATAACAAACATTTGCCACAAAGGTGGCTAACTCCCCCACAGAGATTAGGGAAGAATAACTGGTGAGGATAGATTGTTTTATATGTTCTGCTACAGTCTACTGGTCATTTGAATGATTCACCTGATTTGTGCTAAATCTATGGTGTAATTAAACTCTACCTAGTCACCACATTGAAACACATAAAATAGATCTTAAATGTGTGGTTTTATTCTCATTTGGATAGCCCATTCAAATACAAACTGTAAAGGTATATTTGTTTTCTGTTGTGAGATGTTACCAAACCTTAACTATCATTATCAGGTGTACATAGTATTTAAAGCACTATTGACCAAGTTTACTGCTACATATAACTGCTCACAGTCACCTGACTGCCAAATCTTACCCAATCGTGACCATGTGATCAAAACTCAATGATGATGTTCATCGCTAGCACGATGGACAGTTCTTGAAAAGCACACTTTACAATTTTTGTCGTTACTGTTTGTAATATTCCTTATCACCAGAATGGCTTGTTTTTCCTTTATTTTAGGAGCACACATCCAATTATCTTCATTAACTAATCATCGTGATATTTTGGGTTTCTATTTCAAGTGGTGAGGACAATGGATGACTGGGCCACCTGTGCCCCTCCAATAGCTGGAAATACAACTTCTCTGCAGGTAACAGTACAAACTATAAAAAGAAGAATTCTTTTGGTTTGTGCTCCACTGTGGGTATAGGTGGTGCCCATCACCTGTGAACTTTCACCTTTGTTGTGACAACTCTGTCTGATCTAAACCATATTTCAGTATATCTTGTGATATGACCTTTGAACTTCAAAATGACCAATTTTGCTGGTAACTGAACCTGTCTCTTAAGAGAGACAATAAATCAAATTTGCTAAAAAATCAATTCATATTTATTGCAGTTATTATCCAGAAACCATAAATGGCGACTGGATGAAGGACGAAACTATTGTACAGGCTGTAATGGCCCCTGACCAGGTAAGTTGATTAGCAGCAACAGCTGATACAGCCGTGGATTAATGGCTGGATTAATGGGAGTGGGCATGAAGCAGGTGAGTGGAGGTCAATACACTTCACAATAGGACTATAGAGGGAGAAAACTGACAGCTTTCAATTTCATCAGAATGATGGAATACAGTCAAATCCTCTTAAATAAAATATGCTGTTGGTTGGAAAACTATAGGTAATTCAAAATTGCATAAAAATAATAATTATTAATGTTTCCCATCTTTAGATGCATAAAAAAACTACAAATTTATGAAATTAATAGCAAATCAACTGGTAAACAAAATGTGTTGAGATACCTACCCCTACCCCCACCCTCCACTCCTTTTGAAAATCAAATGGACCAAATGACAAAACAAACTTCCAGAAACTTCCAGAAACAACAAAATATAAGAAAAAACAAAATATACAGAAAGTATCTGATTATTGTTCTCAAATGCCTCTTATGCAGCCAAACATGTGTCAAATGTGTAAGTAGTCCTGTAACAGTTGTCTCCCCTGCCCTCTACAAAATATCTTATGGGTGCTTCTTTCAATAGCATTTCATATTGACTCTTGCAGACATAACTCATAATGAAAGCTCAAAATTACTTTTTTTAATAAAATTAAACATGTAGCCAATATGTTGAATGCTTCATTAATTCATTGTCATGAAATTCATCTTTTGTTATTCAATGCATCCATCTACTCAGACTTCTTGAACTCAAGATAAATCCATGTAATTTTGTGCCAATGCAATCTCAAACTTTCTTGTTTGTTTGTTTGTGTTTGTTTGTTTAATGCCACACTCAGCAATATTCCATCTAAATGACGGCAGTCTGTGACTGATATCATGAGGATTGATCTGATGATGTGCAATTGTCCCTGACAGTAACAGATTTTACATATATCTTGTATTTGACATATTAAGTATTTTAGTTTTATTACTTTTAAGGATTTGAGCTAGTATGATGTAAATAAATAATAAAAGAATGCTCTTTCAATCAGTTTTACTCATCTTATTTTATCTTATTGCTCAGCCTACTTCAAACAATTACAAATAGTCACAGTCCCTTCACTATAAGCATGTTTACTGCATGATTAGTTTGTAAAATTCACACTCTAGGCCCTGTCTAACACAATAGCCTAATCACTTTCCCAACTCAAACCCTTTTGTCTTTAAATGGCTATTTTGGGTATTTAGCCGAGCTGTACAATGGACACTTCAGAATGTCTTGGGTGAGGTGAAATGGGGATTACACTTATATTACACTTATTGGTGTGCGTGCGTGCTTGCTTGTCATTCTGATGCCGATTTATAGTGCTAGCTCACTGAGATACCATGCCGCAGTTTAACATGAATACGCCACTCAGACACAGTGTACTGACCAGTCCTTGTTTTAGCCCCTTAATGCCAAGAGTCAGGCAGGGTAACAACAAGTACTAAAATGAGTGTTTAAACGTGAATACACACGACTGTGGATTTGTGATTCCTATTTAATTTCTTCAAACAATCAATTAATAATCATAAATTCATAATTATAAACATTAAACTAAATGTGATATAAGAAATTTACCATAGCTCACACATGCTACAAGCGGTTAGGTTCAGCAAACATGCATGTGAAGAAAGAATGAAGGTTAGCATGAATGAATGAAGCATTTCTTAGTATTGCTTTATCATGCTCAGCTATACTTGTATATATGATATTATAAGTCGTGGAATAAAACCTAACAAGCTACGCATAAAATCACATACCGCGTACACCCCTTGTGATACTGCTACAACACATTCATCTTGCCGACATGTTTCAATCTGCCATTGTAAAAGAATTAAGACAAATTGAAAATTAATAGAAAGCAGCTGTGCTATTGAGCTGAGATTAATTTTCATTGACTTGTAAACAACTTGCAGCTTTTACCTTTGTAGTGGGGAGCAAGTGATTAAGTCTCCAGCTCATAAATCTGTGAGCAGTCTGTTTTCTTCATGGCAAGGTAAAAGGGATTTATTCTCAGAAGTTCAATGTTGACACAAAGTGACTACCAAAATCAGCTTGGTAGTTTTATAGAACCTATCTGAAGTTTAGCATTCACATAAAATATAATGTTAACTTCTCCTCCAATGGGCGTTGTGGATTTAGGCGATTATATCAGCAAGTTGGGTGTCAATATGCGTGCAAACCTCCTACAACTTAAGCTTCCCTCATTTTTTCCCAGATTCTTCAATCTCATGAATTTAACCTGATATCATTCAACTGTTTGGCAACTATATTTCAACATGTGACTGATATTTACATCCAGTAAATAGCTCCTACTGCACTCAACTCTCTATAAGCATCTCACATTTAACCCGACACAGCTCACTGAGAGCAACAAAACTATTTTTCTCACTGTGGTAGATGCAAAACTTCACTCAGAAAATAGACTGCTCTGAACTGATAGATGCACCAGTAAAATCTATTTTCTCTGCTGCAACTGCATCTAGAGACATGCAAGAGGGAGATGAAAATGTTCAGTGGTAGAGCACATTATAATCCTCTTACTTATTATTATGGTTGGTTTATAAAACAAACCCAAAACCCACTGAATTTAGAAAATAGTCTTTTCACTGTAATTATTTGTGGGTGTATACATGCAGAGATTCAACCACCTACATTGAATATTGGGCCAAAATATTTATAAACCGAACTAACAACACATACAAGGCCTTAAAGCAGTTGAAGCTTCAGAATTAATTCAAAATTTAGGTGAGGTGAGGTGAAATTGGGTTTTACGTCGCGTCCAAGATTATTGCACTTATATAGCGACGTGCATGTATGTGTGCGTGTTTGTGTGGTTGCTTTTACTAGATCGGACTGATGCCGATTTATAGTGCTAGCTCACTGAGATACCATGCCGCAGTTTAACATGAATACCCCACTCAGACACAGTATACTGACTCAGAGGTGACCAGGCCTTGTTTTAGCCCCTTAATGCCGAGCGCCAGACAGGATAACAACAAGTACCATCTTTTAACGTCTATTGGTATGACGCGGTCGGGGATGGAACCCCGGACCTTCTGCTCTCCGGGCGGACGCTCTACCTGTCAACCGCGGTGGCGGTCTTAAATATGTGGGAAAGCAGAGACGCAGTATATGTAGATATATATGTTACAGTGAATGTTTATAATCAGGCAATATGTATATTAACTGATTCACTCAGGCACTGTATATATTGACTGAAAAATGAGACTGGAGTTTCAGGTTGACTGAAATGAATTGTACTATGTTCTGTTTGTTGTTTAACGTCGTACTCAGCTATATTCCAATCATATGACGGCGGTCTGTAAATAATTGTATCTGGACGAGACAATCCAGTGATTTACATCATGAGCATCAATCTTCGCACTTGGGATACGATGATATGCATCAACCAAGTCAGTGAGTCTGATCACCCGATCCCATTAGTCGCCTCCGACGCCAAGCATGGGTTGCTGAAGACCTTACTAACCCATAATCTTCACAGGACCAAACAGATATGTAGATAAAGAAGGGCTCAACATGTTTCCTTCCTTCCCTACTTCACTGTACACAACCAACACACAGTCCTACCATCCTACCTACATCCATCCTCACAGTGAATCACTTCCATGGACAGTTTAGGCCTTAATCACTTTAACTTCTTTGATAGGCATTTAGAAGTTGGAGAACAAAGTAAGGATAGGATATATGGATGAACTACTTCTTATTACAATTAAAGAGACGTTTTGGTGTAGGTTCTAACACCGTTATCAAGCAAGTGATATACAGAGTATGGTTGACAAGTATATCTACAGGTAGGAGGCAATGTTTATGCAGTAGAGTAGATATCAGATGGTGTTATACAGGAGTGGAGAAGCCTGCTATGTACACAAAAGGGTAGAAATGACAATCATCAGTGACCAGTTTGTAATAAAAACTTCTTCTTTTTTCTAAATATTAAATTAGGATGAAAATCTAATAATTTATTGTGGCCTTATTCATGAAACATACTAACTAGTGTCTCCATTCATATCCACACATACTTACATTGGACAATTTTTTTACCTGAATACCAAAACATCACAACCCCAACAACGATTCTGAATGCATATTCCTCCTTAAGATCTCTGTCTGCCGTCATCCCAGGGTCTAATGATGGAGAGTAGCGACATCACCTTGAATGTCATGGTGAATTAAACACTCTCCACATCTAACAATTACACCTCTCCACATCTATCAATTACACACTCTCCACATCTAACAATTACACCTCTCCACATCTAACAATTACACCTCTCCACATCTAACAAGTACACACTCTCCACGTCCAACAATTACACCTCTCCACATCTAACAATTACACACTCTCCACATCTAACAATTACACACTTTCCACATCTAACAATTACACCTCTCCACATCTAACAATTACACACTCTCCACATCTAACAATTACACACTTTCCACATCTAACAATTACACCTCTCCACATCTAACAATTACACCTCTCCACATCTAACAATTACACCTCTCCACATCTAACAATTACACCTCTCCACATCCAACAATTACACCTCTCCACATCCAACAATTACACCTCTCGACATCTAACAATTACACCTCTCCACATCTAACAATTACACCTCTCCACATCTAACAATTACACCTCTCCACATCTATCAATTACACCTCTCCACATCCAACAATTACACCTCTCCACATCCAACAATTACACCTCTCCACATCTAACAATTACACCTCTCCACACCTAACAATTACACCTCTCCACATCCAACAATTACACCTCTCGACATCTAACAATTACACCTCTCCACATCCAACAATTACACCTCTCCACATCTAACAATTACACCTCTCGACATCTAACAATTACACCTCTCCACATCCAACAATTACACCTCTCCACATCTAACAATTACACCTCTCCACATCTAACAATTACACCTCTCCACATCCAACAATTACACCTCTCCA